AGATCTCTTAATTTTCTTAGTAATAAAAAAATTCTATTAAAATTAGATTTAAGAACTATTATATCTTAATAAGATAGTACTAGTTAAAAAGAAATGCTTTATTATAGCCTATAATAACTCTAAAAAGGCTACGATTACTAAAAAAGTTATATAAGTTAAATAGGATACTATAGGAATCTATTTATTAAATATTAAGCTAGTATTTAACTCCTCTTAAGTAGCCTAGAGGCCTATTACGCTACCTTATTAGAATTAATTTTAACTTATTAAGAGCTATTTCGCTACCCCTTATAGCCCTTATAATTTTTTTATAGCTTAGTAATAGCTTTATAAGGATAAAAGATTAAGTCGTAAAGCTTACTAGCTTTTTTAAAAAGTAAGGCACTTATAGCTATAAATAGAGAATAAAAGACTTTATAGTTAACTTAAAGCTCTTAAGCCTTAGTAGTGTTAAGATCCCAAAGAGGTAGCTATTCTCTAAGGGGCTAAGGTTGGTTCTCGGGCAGGAGTACTGGTAGGACGGGAGAGGGTCGTAGTGATAGCTTGCGCCTGTCACTGAGGGTGTTGGTATCGAAGGTGTGTACAGCACAATCAAATCAACAAGGTTGCTTATTCAGATCCAAACGATAGATTGATAAACAGGTTAAACACAAGTAGGAGAGAGACTCCTTCTTGCGTTCCTATATACTTGTCCTGCTCGACATGCTCGAGTCGAGCGTAGCGAGCAGAGGTCTTGGCTTCTGCGTCTGCTCGACTTGCTCGAGTCGAGCGCAGCGAGCAGTCACGTGACCTCCAGGTACTGTACCTCCATTGGTCACCATAAGACCATAGGCGCTCTGGAGCCTAGCCAAGTGCCTGTAAGATCGGATCTTAACAAGTAGCTATAAAAAAGAGTTTTTATAAACCTAAATTAACGCTTTATAGATATAGAAGTTATTATAATAGTAGTATAGGCTTTTACTCTTTTAGAGTTATAAAATAATAATAATGCTATAGAAAAAGTAGTAAAGAGAGTAGTAGCTAAAGTAGTAACTTAAACTCTTTAGTCTATGTGTATAGAGTGGCAATTGCAGGGTAGTTGATAGAAATAAACACGATTTCTGAGCGATGGCTGATTTTTGGGGGGTGGCTCGAAACCCCGGGTGGCTCGGAACCCTGTACGCTAGCTTATCGATATCCAACGATAGATCTTCGATCTCGACGCGCTATATTTGAGGACGCATCGATGATCGCGGATCAAGGACCTACAAGACGCATTATATTCCTGTAACAAGGAAGGTGTGTTCAATTTCACGTTCCTTGATTGCAAGCTACACTCTACTGTATGTGCGCCCAGAACTTGGTTATCTCAAAATCTGACAATGTGAGTCAGCGAGCAGACATACACAAGCGACTCGTACAGATTCAACAAGCATCGTCACAATTGCCGAGGCATGTCAACGTGGTACAGTAATAGGAAAAGCCCACACCGTTGGAAGCTAGTACTGTACAATTTTATACCTACTCACAGTCACGATGCGGATCCCACGGCTCGGTATGCGGATGCTTGAGGCTCACCGGATATAAGACTTGACAGCGGCATTGACAGAAGGTATTCCGAGCTTAATCTTGCGTTTTCGAGAAATAACTGAAGCAAGCTATACCGCGCCCAGTTTAGCTTCGTCAAAATGACGATGCATATCTCCAGGATACGCCTGTCCAGCGACCGGCACCACGCCTCACTATGATCCGAAAAAATCGCAGCCGTAAGTCCGACCCAGGTGTCCTCATAAAGGTAGCCTGGTACTCCAATATATACACAAGCTCCCGATAATCCCAAGGCAAGTCATCTGCGCCCCCGCGTCTCCTCGGTCCTTCCTCGGACGTATCTCCCCGCTTTCCGAGCTCCACCGGCCCAAGACCGAACGATGGCGTAAATAAAACTAGAACTGCTCCTACAGCATCTTTTCCGCGCCACCCGTCGTAACCTCGTATAGCTATTCATCGCGCGGCGCTCTTGTTCTTCATCATCTTTACGGGCCGGTGACGCACGTGCATGAGGGGTTGTATATCTAGGTTTGAAGGTGGGCATATCTCAGGATGACGACGCAGCCGAGACGTAAAGCTTGCGTGGAGTGCCGCCAACAAAAGGTGAGTTGTGCCGAAGATCGCGAGCGTGGACTGACGCAAGCCAGATCCGCTGCGATGTTGAGCAGCACAAGACGCCACATGAAGCATGTAGTCGCTGTAAGAAGATGAATTTGGAGTGCCGCATTCTTCCCACGTCGACCCGCAACCTGCGGCAGACGAAAGCAGAAATGCGGCGTGAATTGGAAGAGCTGAGATGGAACATGCGGCAAGGCCATGGAGATCCGAATTCTACTCCAGGAAGCTTGGGCGATGCCAGTTCGTTCAGAAGTCCGCATGAGCACCCGACTGGAAGTTTTTCTAATCCGAGTGCGCCCGGTACAGATGCGAGCATGAGCCCAGCCATGGAACATGGACCATCCGCTGTAGCGGGGAAGGAAGTCAAAGGAAGCGCAAGCGGTCCGACTATCACGAGAGCATTGGACGGTTTCGTGGTGGACGCGCGAAAGATTGACGATTGCTTTGCGCTGTATGTTATGCTCTGAAGTAGGAGAAGGACCTGCTAACATTGAGGAAGATTCTTCACGCAGTATCATCCTCTGCTCCCAATTTTGGAATCATCACTCGCCCCGAGTAGCGCTAACGGTTACTATGAACTCTCACCATTCCTCTTTTGGTGTATTGTGGTCACGGGAGCCAGACATTACCTTGAAGATCGAAGTATTCTCGACAAAGTCAGCGAGCTCATAACGCCACTTGCATTCTCTTCTATGGCCCTCCGGTCGACTCCAATCCCTGTTATCCAAGGTCTTCTCATCCTTTGCACATGGCGGTTACCGACCAACTCTATGTATAAAGATATGACCCATGTTTTATGTGGCGCCGCGATACACCTGGCTACGTCGATCGGCTTGCACGTAGCAGGAGCAGGTCAAGATTTTGCTCGGACGCCATTGAAAACAGACCAAGAGCAAGTAGTATTCAGGGCGAAGCTTTGGATGCAATGTATCATTGTATCAATCCGGACGAGCTGCGCCGAAGGCATTCCACCACTTGTAATAGCGGAATCATTCTACGACGGAAACGAAAAGGACCGAGAAGATCTAGCTGCACTTTTCCCACCCGATCTACAATACAGTCGCAAGATTCACATCATGTTACACAAGGCCATGGCAGCAATGGCGAGGTCAGACATCAAGCACGTCAACTGCGATTCCAAGGTGTTGCGTTCTTTGGTTAGCATATACGACTCAGAACTCTTGAGGCTTGCAGCTGTCTCACCGAGCGAATTGGGTAGGTGGTTTTGCACTTCTATCAAGAAATTTCGCTAATATCGCAGATTCATTTCAAATGAGTTGCGCCCGTATTCACGTGCTCGCGTTCCACTTTTTCGCCCACCCTCTTAATCCTGGGCATGATGTCGAAGCCCTTAGTCGCCTGTATTCCCTCTGCATATCGACTTTACAAACAGCGCACGCGATGACCCAACAAGCCAATTTCGCGTTCATCTCGCAGTCCTTCATTGACAGAACCATATGCTTGGCGGGTTTTGTCATTCTCAAGCTGTCGCGATCGCCGTTCCAACAACATCTAGATCTTCCAGCCGGTGAACAAGCCTACTACAACGCCGCGCAATTTAGTAAAGCTACATCTCTGCAAACTGGCGATTTGGGCGACCGAATATGCCAGATCCTGACTAACCTATGGCAAAGTAACAAAGTATTTAGACGACGAGATGGCACCATAGAAAGCCTCGGGATACGATTACGAACCCGGCTCAGCATGAGCGTCTCTTTCGACATGTTCTGGTACTGGCGCGAAGAATTCGGACACATGTACAATCCCTACAACGGCGAGGAAGGCCTGCCTGCAAATGCGCAAACACAACCTACAACACCTGGTAAGTTTCCCTTCCCGAGCGCACACAGGCACAACACTGTACTAACGCAGAGGCGCCTGCAAGACTACGAACGGGAAATGACTCAGACAACAGCACCAGGTATTACGCAAGCAATCACGGCGACGGCGCCTCCGCAGCCCATCAAGATGGACCCCAATAATCTGTCGCTGCAGCCGCTGGGTGGCCAGCCGGCACCTATAGGTTTTGATCGTGGTTGGAATGGCGAGGCGTACATGTTTCCGCCCATGCTCGACCAGTTCCCGGATTATGATTGGGCGGCGAGCTTCGATTTCTCGAACGATCCGAGTCAGATGCAAATCCCGCAGATACCGCCGCCTGTCAATATGGGACCAATGAATGCTGGACCGGCGGGGTTTCAGTACGGTTGAAGCCAGTGTTTGAGCGGTGAGGAATGGCGAGGACGTCCCGAGGAGGGGTACGACTGCGATGATCCCGCATTTTTGCTCGTTTGGCAGGACACTAGAGCCATTGATGATCTAGCCATTCGATCTGTTTCGTCGCATGTGGTTCTGCTCCATGTCAAAAAGCGAACACGCGCCAAGACGATCGAACGAGGAGCGGAGCTTCTGGCGCAGAACGTCACCGGAGCAGCCAACGCGAAATCTGCACCATTGCAATGGATACTTGGCGGGATCGAATGGCCAGCAACATGGTAGTGGAAGGTTGACGAGCGAGAAAGGAAGAACGAGCGTGTGATATCACATCACAAAGGTTGGCGTTCAGGGCGTTCGCTGGCGTTGAACTGGGGAAATGTATGCGTCAACACGCAGGGCATGGGCATAATACCGGGGAAAGAAAAGAGGACCTATGGGCTTTTCCACTGCGGGGGGAGAAAGACTTCCTACTACCTAAATGCAGTCAAACCGAGCGAATTCTCTGCTATCCACCACTTTCACGCTCTTGCCTCTACACTAGCAAAACAATACGCATACATCTTCCTTCGTAAGACAAAAGAAAAATTCAAGTCAACATCGTTAATTGGAGGATATGGCAGGGACAAAGGAAAAAAAAATGGACTTGCTGGGAATCGAACCCAGGACCTTTCCCACGAAATCAAGCACTGGTGGAAGCACAGCTGATATGCTAAGGGAAAATTATACCACTAAACCACAAGCCCTTCTACTATAGCATTCTGTTATTAGATGAAAAGAATCTGCACAAAATGGTATATAACGAAGTATCAATGGTTGGTGGGAGGGTGTGATGGGATGTGTGCGGTAGTGGGGAAGATTTGCATTAGCGTTTCGGTTGAGGTGGGGCATTTGTGGGCAGTGGATAATTTTGTTGGGATGGATGTTTTTTGTGGGCTGGCTTTTGGGAGGGAGAGGGATGAGTGTGCGACGTTGTGAGTGAGTGACTACAGGACCAAGTGAAAAATCACTGTGCTCGAACTTTTCGTTTTTGTATTGCAACGACGCCACCTCGTGCGTTCTCCGGAAAAAGAATAACCGCCCGCAGCACTTTTAGAGATACATTGTTTGATTTAACGAGTGTGCAGAGTTACATATGTATTCTTCGCGATCTCCCTCGTGGCGGCTACCTAGCTAGAAGCATTGCCAACTCCCTGATCTTGCAAGTCACTCGGTCTAGCAGATGGCATTGGACGAGTCCGTGCCTAGTACGTATTGCGCTTCATTATTTAGACACTGGCATCTACATTAGGAAAGCCAATGCCAGCCCAGTAGTTCAGGTAGCTAGGTACAAATTTGCATAGTTGTGAACAATCAACCTAATCTAATTAAATTATTTAAATTAATTAAGTCTTCTTAATTTAACTAAATTAAGCTATTAAAGTAAAGTTAATTAACTAAATTAGATAAATTAGGTGCTAAAGGGCGCTTTTAATACCGCTGTTAATAGAGTAATTATAAGTCTATAGAGGTTACTATAATAGTAAATTTAATAACACTTTTTTAGTATTATTATTAGTTAGCTAAACTAGCTAGTAACCTAGCCGCGCACTGTACGCGTTAATTACTTATATTTAGCTATTAATTAGGCTATTATTATATCTTAATAGCTTACTTTTTTAACTTTTAATTTATTTTATTAGCTATTATAGCGCGTTAATCTTTTTTTAACACCCTTAAACGCATAATAAAAAGCACTAAGGTAGCCTAAAGTAGACTATTACTTACTAAACGCTAGTGAATGCTTACTAAAAAAGCGCGTTAGTTAGTAACTAAGCTACTATTTCTATCTTTAACGAAGCCTAAGGCAAGTAGCTAACGCGCTTAAAGATCTTTATTATAACGTAATATAGCTACTAAGTCGGGTGGGGTAGTTTCCGACACCGGGTAGTTTCCGACAGCCCCGCAATCGCGCTCACCCACCATGCACGCTAACTGAAAATAATTCTTACAACCTTAATTCTTTATTAATTTCAATTTTTCCTTTTGCATCGTATTCTCTAACTTCGAATAGCTAGATATATAGAAGGAGATGTCTAGAACGCACTTACAGACCTCGAATCTAGGGTCGCTTTAGCCACTACTACTACTTAATATAGGGTACCACGCAACACTCTTCGCGGCCGCTTTAATAGTGCTTAATCTTACCTGCATGCCTATAATAGTGCACAGTAGCTTTTAGTTATTTAAGAAGAGTATTTAGAGCGCTAGATTTTACGTTAAGAAGCCCTTAGTTACGCGCTAACCCACGCGCAAGTGTAAGCTATTGTAATAGTTATCTTTAAGTAAGAGGGTAACTATAAGAACCTAGGGAAAGAGTAAACTAGTTAATTTATAAGACGCCACCTAGCTATTAAGTTAAAGTTAGGCCGCTGGACTAGCTAGGAACGCATAAATGCGGCCACTCCTGAAAATATTAGGCAAATATTCGACCTGTACGAGACCGTGACCTGGATTCCCCCCCAACACAGGTACAACGCCGACAAGGGCGGTATTATAGAGGGCTAGGGAGTTAATGGGCTTATTATAGGCTCCTCGCAAGAGAACCCTAATGCTATACTAGTTAAAATAATAAATGCCCGTACGTAGACCTCTATAGTAGAGTGTATCTCTGCGCTCGGCGTCGTTCTTAAACCTTTAGTTATCTTTAAGACTAAGAGCATCCAGGAGCAGTAGTTTAAGAAGGAGTTTTTAACTTAATATCCTTACTAGCATATTACTTTCTCGTAAAATAGGTAGATAAGTAATAATATTACTATTAAGTAGCTGGAGAAGGTGTTCTTGCCCTAGACTAAGCCTAATAATCTATCTAAGACACGATTGCTTATTATTAATAGCCATAGTAGTTATACCTCGAACAAATTTATAACTGCATATTATATAAATAATGTGCATTTGCTCTTTATACCTGCCCATACTTCACATATACTCCAGCCTTTAGATCTTGGTTGTTTCTCCAGCCTAAAGGTGGCGTATCGGCGCTTCGTCGGCGAGTATGGGGCTGAGACAGATGCAACAAAGCTTGGGAAGGCCAAGTTTCTCGAATTTTATGCAGAAGCGCGTAAAATTGGCCTTCGAGAGCAGTGTGTCCGATCTGGGTGGAAAGCAACAGGGCTGTACCCTAAGAACGTGAGGAAGCCCTTGGGTTCTCGCTGGGTGGTGGTGCGCGAACGGCCGTCAACACCACCCTCTTCTACCAAGGATATCAGGACGCCAAAACGTGGCAGCGATGTTGTAAAGCTATTTTCTGAAAAGAGCTTCTCACTAACTACACGACGATGTGTTTGGCTTACCGCTAAGGTATTTAACTATACCTTAATAGAGGTTACTATAAAAAATTATAAGATTACTTCCTTGCGCGAGCAGGTTAATTAAGTAAATCTACTAAAATACTATAAAGTTATAATTAATCTAAATAAATAGTTTGCAAGTCTTGCAGAAGTTCTCTCGCAGGCTAATTAGGTACCCTCTTAACGTATTCGCAAATTAAGAAACGCATCGCAGAAGGTCATTATTATAGAGGAGGAAAGTAGCTCTAAAGAGGAAGCGGAGCAGCTATTAGTTCGACGTTTAGCGCGAGAACGACGACGAACACAACAATATCTTAATCGTGATTTAAGCATAGATAAAGAAAGTGATTAAATGCTTCAAATACTATTTTTTTTTTTTTTTTTACAAATTTATTTAATAAAGTTGTGAGCATATTCGCAACCCAAGTGGTGGCAGCGGCGAAATTTTGCGGGGTGTCGGAAACTACCCGGTGTCGGAAACTACCCCACCCGACTTATAGCTATATAAGAGAAGCTAGAGCTACTAGCTTAAAAAATTTAACTATATAGTAGCTAGCCTAAGAGCGCTATTATACTACTATTTAAAGGCTTATAGGTAGCTACTAAGGCCTTTACTAAGGCTATTATTAAGCTAACTATTACTATCGCTAGTAATTAGCGCTTTATAAATAATTTAGGTAGATAAAGGCGCGTATAGTAATATTAAAATAAAGATAGTTAATAAGATAGAATTTATAAAAGTTTAGCGTAGTAATAGGCTACTTAGACTATTTATTATAGCTATTAGTTATATTAGAACACTACTATAGCATGCTTTATTTAAAAGCTTTTAATATAAGACGTACTAATTAGCACTAGCTAGCACTAAACTAGTAATTAAAAAGCTTATTAAACCTTATATTACGCGCTAAAATAGCTACGGTAGCTACTTTAAGTATAGTATTAAGTAAAAGCTTATAATAGATATATATTAATTATCACACTAAGGTAGTACGTAAAGCTAACACTATTACTGCCTAGCGTAGTACTCCTCTATAAGACGCACCTAAATAGATGCGACTAGACAGGCTTATAGTAGCTAATTAGTAGTACTAACGCCGCTAAAGCTCGCTACTAAGTGCCTTAAAAATAATAATAAAGCTAGTAATTATAGCGCGATTTATAAAATACTTCCTATTTATAAATAGTTACTTATTAAGTATAATTAGGTAGTAACTATATATAAAGCTATTAATTAAAATAAATATAACGCGCCTAAAGACTACTTTATAATTAACTTCTAAGCTACTATTAATAAGCTTAATAAGTACTATAAAAAGCTTAATAAATTACTATACTACTTTATTACTATACTCTTATACCTATACTATAAGACATACTACGAGGTATTATAGCGAGATAATAGACTCTGCTTTAAGCAAGTAATAGTAGCTTTCTAATAGATTTAGGCAGGGTATAAGCTAGCTATAGAGTCTATTTAGGCTGCTTGCTCTTTGGGTAATACTATTAATAACGCTATAGAGACGCTTATAAGCTAAGAAGTAAGCATAGAACTAGGCGTAGAGGTGCTTAATAAGTATAACTACTAGTAGTAGTTTAAGCCTTAGTAGCAGCGCAAGTACTATAAAGATAAGAAAAGTAAGTTACTAGTAAAATACTAGTAGTAGCTATAGTCTTAGTATCTAAACTTTTTATAATTAGCTATTAACATGCTTACTATCCCCGTCTTTAGCAGTAATTATAAGTGTATATTTACTAATTTTAGTGACTTGTTAGAGCCTAAAAGACGTAAAATTAGTATAGAGTTACTAGTAGTACTTAAGTGTGTGAAAGCGTTGTAAAAGTATAGTATAAAAACCCTAGTAATGGCAGAAACTAAGTGCTATACTAACGCGGAGTTTAACGCTAAATTTAGGCTACTTAATTAAAAAATTATTACTAGCTAATTACTATATAAACTTTTTTAAAAATAACTTTTTTAATTAACTTATTAATTTATAATTAATTTAATTAAGTAAAAAAACTAATAATTTAATTTTAATTTAATCTAACAGCGTTAAGTTAATTAAATTAATTATTAACAACTCTGCAAATTTGATACAGTTGGCCACTATATTACTTGTCTAGGGGTAACACACAGGACTAAGACATCTCTAAACAAAATTGTCTTACCCGATCTTGTACTTTTACGATTGGGGATATACTGCTTATAGTTTGCACGCAGCATCGGGAGTAGTCGCTATTATAGCAGACGCCAAAGCCACCACAATCACCCGTATCGGAGGTGGAGTTGCAACGCTGCATGGGTACGGTATCAGTTAGACGTAAAAGGAGGGCAACAGTTTGAGCGACGTACTCTAGGACCAATTGCGCCGCTACAAGGCTGAAGCTCGCGGCGAATAAGGTGTTGAGGGAGG